CGGAGATCGTGCGTGTCGAGTGCGCGAAATGCAGGCGAGAGTGCGATGTGCTGGGGAGTGGGAAGATGAGAACTGGTGAGTGGGTAGTAGCTGAGAACTGGCGAGTTTGTAGCTGGGGAGCTGGGAGATGAGCACTGGCGACTTTGTAGTACAACTGTAGTACGCGGAGTAGCTGGGGAGCTGGAAGCTCAGAACTGGTGACTTCGTAGTAGAACTTTAGTACGCGGAGCAATCTGTGGAGCTGGAAGCTGAGAACTGGCGACTGCGTAGTACAACTTTAGTACGCGGAGTAGCTGTGGAGCTGGAAGATGAGAAGTGGCGACTTGGTAATACAACTCTAGTACGCAGAGTAGCTGGGGAGTGGGGAGATGAGAACTGATGAGTGGGTAGTAGCTGAGAACTCGCGACTTTGTAGTACAACTTTAGTACGAGGAGTAGCTGGGGAGCTGGAAGATGAGAACTGGCGACTTGGTAGTACAAATGTAGTACGCAGAGCAGCCGGGGAGTGGGAAGATGAGAACTGGCGACTTGGCAGTGCAACTTTAGTACGCAGAGTAGCTGGGGAGTGGGAAGATGAGAACTGGTGAGTGGACAGTAGCTGCGATGTGGCGACTTTGCAGTGAGTGTAGTGCGCGGAGTAGCGGGGGGAGCTGGAAGATGAGAAGTGGCGACTTGGTAGTACAACTTTAGTATGCAGAGTAGCTGGGGAGTGGGAAGATGAGAACTGGTGAGTGGGTAGTAGCTGAGAACTGGCGACTTTGTAGTACAACGTTAGTAGTGCGCGGAGTAGCAGGGGAGCTGGAAGATGAGAAGTGGCGACTTGGTATTACAACTTTAGTACGCAGAGTAGCTGGGGAGTGGGAAGATGAGAACTGGTGAGTGGGTAGTAGCTGAGAACTGGCGACTTTGTAGTACAACCTTAGTATGCGGAGTAGGTGGGGAGCTGGAAGATGAGAACTGGCGACCTGGTAGTACAACTTTAGTACGCAGAGTAGCTGGGGACTGGGAAGATGAGAACTGGCGACTTGGTAGTACAACTTTAGTACGCAGAGTAGCTGGCGAATGGGAAGAGGAGAACTGGCGAGTGGGTAGTGGCTGCGAACTGGCGACGGTGTAGTATATAACTGTAGTGCGCGGAGTAGTTGGGGAGCTGGAAGATGAGAACTGGCGACTTGGTAGTACAAGTAACACGTGCCTTTGATAACAGGCAGTGGAAGCCAGCTTGCTGGCTGCCATTGTCCAGATGGAAAGCCAGCACGCTGGCCACCATCATAGTTGCAGTGGGTAAGCCAGCACGCTGGCTGCCATTGTTGAGATGGCAAAGCCAGCGCGCTGGCTAGCATCATAGTTGAAGTGGGTAATACAAGTGAACCCAGCATTTTCTGTGTTCATTCCAGCTGGGTTTTTTCAGTGAGATTCCCGCTGCTTCTCCCCTTACCAGCAGCTCGCGCGCTCATGACGATGAGCTGGGCTGTCACCGCTTGGCCGCCGGTGGGGGTTTGGGAGGC